TCTGATTAGAACTTGCTGAAGCACTGCTATCCTGAGTTGAATAGAACTAAGTTTGTAGTGGTAGGTGAACATGGTATGGTCCAGTTACGCCTCTGCCAGGAGGGGTGCTGCTTTTATTCTACCTGGAACTGTTGCCTACTTAGCCAGGAGACTTAATGAAATGCAAGTAAATCATCTAGAATATTCTAGGGGTTCTTATTTTCTTAGAATCTGTGGTTATATTACTCACTTTCCTCTTGGTGGTGGTAGATCAGGATGGTTTCCTCCCCTGCCCCTACCCCCTTGACTTGGATAGTGAAGTGTGGTGAGCTTGGCGGCATATGATGTTGGAGGGACAATCGTTTTACTGATCCAGTCATTTGAGTGATGCAGAGTTGCTGCAGAAATTCACAGGCATGTCTGGAGTTAAGGATCCTAAGGAATTAAATACTTCCTCCATTTTATTCTTCCAAAGAAATGCTTAAGCGAAATACCCCAGAGGATGGTAGAATTGAGAAAATGATTCTTGAGTAAAGTGTCCTGGATTTCAGTCCTTGATCTGCCATTTACTAATTATGAGACTTTGAGCAAGTTACTTAATACATCTAAGCTTCAGTTTTCATGCTTGTGAAAAGAACTTAATCATTGTACCTATATAAGAAGTAAAGCAGATAGTATTGCTGTTGCATATAAAGAAGCCCACACAGTACCAGGGACTTGGTAGATGCTCAAATGTTATTGACTAATATTATTTTCTTTATGATTAATAATCAGAACCAGAATGCTGTTTTCTTCAAATTAACTTTATTTATTTATTTAAAGACATATTTATGTATTTGGAAGGCGGAATTAGAGAGGGAGAAAGTGAAAGAGAGAGAGCATCTTCCAGTCACTGATATATTCCCCAGATGACCGTAACATCTAGGTCTGAGCTAGGCCAAAACTAGGAACGCAAGATTCTTCCAGATCATCTCCATGGGTGGCAAGAGCCCAAATACTTGGACCATCTTCTGCCTTTCCAAGTGTGTTAGCAAGGAGCTAGATTAGAAGTGGAGTAGCTGGTACTAAAACAGGCCTGGGATGCCTGCATCTCAGGCTTAACCCACTGCGCCACAACTCTGGCTGTAACTTAATGTTATATAATAGTTTGGTTTACATTGGTTACACACCCTCTGTGAATTTGCTGTTGATTTAGTGGGAAAAGAAAAACTTTGTGGCAATAATTATGATAATAATAAACTGATTTAATAGTTCATGTATAGAGTTGGTTGGTTTTTTTTTTTTTAAGATTTACTTTTTATTATTTTTTCATTGGAAAGGCAGATATACAGAGGAGAGACAGAGAGGAAGATCTTCCATCCGATGATTCACTCCCCAAGTGAGCGCAACGGCAGATGTTATGCCGATCCAAAGCCAGGAGCCTCTTCTGGGTCTCCCACATGGGTGCAGGGTCCCAAAGCTTTGGGCCGTCCTCGACTGCTTTCCCGGGCCACAGGCAGGGAGCTGGAAGGGAAGCGGGGCTGCCAGGATTAGAACTGGTGCCCATATGGGATCCCGGGCATGCAAGGCGAGGACCTTAACCACTGCACCACCGCGCCGGGCCCAAGTTGGTTGTTTTTAAAGATTTATTTATTTTTATTGGAAAGTCAGATATACATAGAGGAGGAGAGACAGAGAGGAAGATCCTCCGTCCGATTATTCACTCCCCAAGTGGCCGCAACAGCCAGAGCTGAGTCGATCCGAAGCCAGGAACCTCTTCCGGGTCTCCCACGTGGGTGCAGGGTGGGTGCCAACGAATTGGCCATCTTTGACTGCTTTCCCAGGCCACAGGCAGGGAGCTGGATGGGTAGCAAGACTGCTGAGATTAGAACCTGCACCCATATGGGATCCTGGTGTGTACAAGTTGAGGACTTTGGCCACTAGGCTACCACACCACGCCCCATGTATCAAGTTCTTCACTTCTTCGTTGCCATCAGCCTTTGTTAGCACCCCTTCTGTTCTGGGGAAAGCAAATACAGCAAAGACAACAAGCATCTGGCAGAAAAAAATCAAGTACTAAGTTCTTGTGCCCAGCGCGATAGCTAGCGGTTTAAGTCCTCTCCTTAAATGCGCCCAGGATCCCATATGGGTGTCGGTTCTAATCCCGGCATCCCCGCTTCCCATCCAGCTCTGCCTGTGGCCTGGGAAAGCAGTCGAGGATGGCCCAAAGCCTTGGTACCCTGTACCCGCATGGGAGATCTGGAAGAAGCTCCTGGCTCCAGATTGGCTCAGTTCCAGCCATTGCGGCCTCTTGGGCAGTGAGTCATCTTTCTCTCTGTCGCTCTTTGTTGTATATTGACTTTCCAATAAAAATAAATAAATCTTTAAAAAAAATGTAGTGCTAAGTTCTCTTGCTTGCTGTGTTAGAAGAGCTGACCTGCTTACATTGAGCACTGGAGAAGGTGGGCTAGCTCCCTGTTTGTGATTGTGCAGTTGGCTGTTGTGATTCTAGGGACAAGGATGGTTACTTGGTTAGGATGGAAACTATAGGAATTGAAAAGTTCCTGGGCCTGGTGCGATGACTCAGTAGCCAAATCCTCCCCTTACATGTGCCAGAATCTGTTAAGGGCACCATTCATATCCCAGCTGCTCCACTTTCCTTCCAGCTCCCTGCTTGTGGCCTGGGAAAGCAGTCGAGGATGGTACAAAGCCTTGGTACCCTGCAGTCACAAGGAAGACCCAGAAAGTTATTGGCTCCTGACTTTGGATCAGCTCAGTTCTGACCATTGCAGCCACTTGGATAGTAAGCCAGTGGATGGAGAATCTTTCTCTCTGTCTCTTCGTCTCTCTGTAAATGTGCCTTTCCAATAATAATAATAAATCTTTTTTAAAAGGAAAAGAAAGAAAAAATTCTTGTGCTTATGCAGGTCTTTTGATTGTCCTTGTGGCTTGCTTTTGTGAATAAACTGTCTTCCCTTGATGAGGGAGGAGGTCTGTGTACAACATAGGATCACGTGAAATATTTGGAGGCTGAAGTCCTCATAGATATGCCAAGCTTGGTTTTTGATTGACTGATTTGTTTGTTTTGTTTTATTTTATTTGGAAGATGTGTTACAGAGAGATATGTCTGCATCCTCTGTCCACTGCACAAATGGCCACAATAGCTGGATCCAGGGCCAGGCCAGAGCCAGAAGTAGAAGCTTCATTCAGATCTCCCTTCATAGGTGCAGGGGCCCAAAGACTTGGCTTTTTTCCACTGCTTTCCCAGGCACATTAGCAGGGAGCTGGCTCCCATATGGGCTGCCAGCATTGCAGGCAGCGGTGCCATGCCACAGAGCTGGCTGCTAGTTGTGCAAGGTGTAGCACATCCTTTGAAGAGAAGAACACTTAGGGAACCTATCTGATGTCTGTTATTTACTAATTCTGGGACAGTGCTTTTTTTGGTTTGTTGGTTTGTTTTGAAAATTTATTTATCTATTTGAAAGCAGAGTCAGCAAAGAGAAGGAAAGATCGATCTTCCATCCCCTGACTCATTCCCCAAAATGTGAGAAAAGCCAGATCTGAACTAGGCTGAAGCCAGGGTCCCAAGTATTTTGTCATCTTTCATTGCTTTCAAAGGTGCATTTAGTAGGAATTTGCATCACAAGTGGAGCAGTCAAGACTTGAACTGGCACCATATTGTAAATTCCAGTCTTGCAGTTAGTGGCTTAACATGTCACACCACAGTGCCGACCCCTGTGGCAGACCTTCTGATTATTGGTTGACTAGGTATGGGAGGAAGATGGAGGAGGAGAATGTAACTTAAAATGGGACTAAATGATAGGGTTTAGGATACTCATACCTGCATTAAACCAAGTTGACAGAAGATCTTCCGTCTGATGATTCACTCCCCAAGTGACTGCAACGGCCAGTGCTGCCAGGTCTCCCATGCAGGTGCAGGGTCCCAAGGCTTTGGACTGTCCTCGACTGCTTTCCCAGGCCACAGTCGGGAAGCTAGATGGGAAGTGGAGCTGCCGGAATTAGAACTAGCGCCCATATGGGATCCCGGTGCGTTTACGGAGAACACTTTAGCTGCTAGGCCACTGTGCCGGGCCCACTAGTTCAGTCTTAAAAACAGCTATATGAGAATGGCTTGTTCCTGCTCACAGTTAGGAGGCGGCATTGAGTCTCATGGATACCTGAGAAGGAGCAGGAATTTTGTCTCTCTTAGAGACATGGCTGCAGCTGTCACACTGACTAACCTGTTAAGAAAACTAGTTGAATAGTTAAGAAAAATATTTGATTTTTCTGAGTGCTTCCAAGCAAACACATAACTTTGTTTAGTAATTCTACTCTGGGCCAGCGCAGTAGTTTAGAGGCTAAAGTCCTTTGCTAGCATGCAGCGGGACCCCATATGGGGTAACTCCACTGGTTTATTCCCCAAGTGGCTTACAATGGCCGGAGCTAAGAAAAATCCGAAGCCAGGGCGTGGAACTGATTCCTGGTCTTCCATGCGGGTGCAGAGGCCCAAGACCTTGGATCATTCTCTACTGCTTTCTTAGGCCACAGGCAGAGAGCTGAATGAGAAGTGGAGCAGCCGGGACATGAACTGACACCCACATGGGATCCTGGCGTGTGCCATGCGAGGATTTAGCACTGAGCCATCATGCCAGGCAGTATACAAGGTGAACTTATATATTGTTGCCATTAAGTTGTAAATTCACTCTCATTTACTTTGTGAATAGAGGCTACCTTTTTGTTTGTTTTGTTAAAATTATTTAGTTGAAAAGCAGAGATCTTCATCTGCTGGCTGCTAGGTTGCCCCTCAAATTTCTGGATTAACTAGGCTGAAGCCAGGATCCAGGAACTCCATCCATACCTTCCAAGTGCTTGAGCCATAATCACAACCTCCCATATTTTGAGGAAGCTGGATCTGATATAGCAGCTGGAACTCAAACCGATGCTCTGTAACCGGATGTGAGCATCCAAAAAATGGTTTAACCCACTGACTTGCAGCGCCTAGTGTATTAGCTTGTACTAATAGCTTTCTTTTTCCTCAACAGTCTGAAGATGATGAGAAGCTAAAAAAGAGGAAGGAACGATTTGGGATTGTCACAAGTTCAGCTGGAACTGGGACAACAGAAGATACAGAGGTGAATTATACCTGGAATGTTGTATAGAGCTCTTGAAGGAAAATGAGAGTGAAAAAACTGCTTTTTCCTGGTCCACTTTTCCTCCCTCCCTCCCTTCCTCCGTCCCTTCCTTCCTCCTTTCCTTCCTTCTTTCCTTCCCCTCTCTTTCTTTCTCTCCCTCTCCCTCCCTCCCTTCCTCCCTTTCTCTCTCTCTCTCTTTTTCTTTCTCTCCCCAGGTGGCTGCAACGGCTGGAGCTGAGCTGATCCAAAGTTAGCCAGGAGTTTCTTTTGGGTTTTCCATGCAGCTGCAGGGTTCCAGGCTTTGGGCTGTCCTTGAATGTTTTCCCAGGCCACAAGCAGGGAGCTGGATGGGAAACAGGGTCACCAGAATTAGAACCGGTGCCCATATGGGATCCAGGCATATGCAAGGCTTTAGCTGCTAGGCTACTGCGCCAGGTCCCCAAGTACTTCTGAAGTGCTCAAATATTGGATGTTTTACCTTTTCATTGATAACCTTAATCTGGATCAAGAATCCATACTTAATTTACTATTAGAATCTGCTAATGTAGTAGCAAAGAACATAACATTTAGAATCAAGTGGACTTAGGTTTAAAAAGTAGCTGTGTGGATCTGGCATGATAACCTAGCAACTAAAGTCCTTGCCTTGAACACATTGGGATCCCATATGGGCGCTGGTTCTAATCCTGACAGCCCCACTTCCCATCCAGCTTCCTGTTGTGGTCTGGGAAAGCAGTTGAGGACGGCCCAAAGCCTTGGGACTCTGCAACCCTGTGGGAGACCTAGAAGAGGTTCCTGGCTCCTGGCTTCGGACAGGAACAATTCTGGCCGTTGCGGCTGCTTGAAGTGTGAGTCAGTGGACAGATGATCTTCCTCTCTGTCTCTCCTTTCTGTATATCTGACTTTCCAGTTAAAGAAAAAAAAATCTTTAGGGCCTGGCATAGTAGCTAAAGTCCTCGCCTTGAATTCGCCGGGATCCATATGGGCACTGATTCTAATCCTGACAGCCCCACTTCCCATCCAGCTCCCTGCTTGTGGCCTGGGAAAGCAGTGGAGGATGGCCCAAAGCCTTGGGACCTGCACCCATGTGGGGAGACCTGGAGGATGTTCCTGGCTCCTGGCTTTGGATTGGCTCAGCACCAGCTGTTGCAGTCACTTGGGGAATGAATCATCGCACGGAGGATCTTTCTCTCTGTCTCTCCTCCTCTCTGTATATCTGATTTTGCAATAAAAATAAATCTTTAATAGAAAAATCTTTAAAAAGTATCTTTGCTACTTTGTATTACTTGCATTAGTTAGGATGTTTTCTTGAGCTTCAGTTTTGTCATCTAGAAGGTAATATGTCTTCCTTGAAGTGGCATTTTAAGAATGATGTGAATGTATGTAAATGATTTTTTGTAAAATTGAGGGTTCCTATGTAAATACTTAAAGTGAGACCTGCATTTTGTAGTTGCTGTAGTAGTGTCTGTGGGAATATATTTCTTTTGTTCCTTTAATGAAGGCCATCTCCAAGCCTTGGAATAGGACAGTAGACTCAAATTGGACTTCTTATTCCTGTCATTTTGTTATTAGGTGTTTTTTGAGATGAAAGTGTTGTTTGTTTGTTTTTTAGTTTATTTTTATTGGAAAGCCAGATTTGCAAAGAGGAAAGACGAAAACATCCCTCATCCGTTGATTCATTCCTCAAATGGTCACAAAAGCCAGAGCTAAGCTGATGTGAAACCAGGAGCCAGGAGCTTGCTGAGCCTTGCTTAATTGCGGAGCCTTGCTTAGTGTATTAAGAGCCCATTGTTGGCACTGCGATATATTGGGTAAAACTGCTGCTGGCATCCCATATGGATGCCAGTTTGAGACCTAGCTGCTCCACTTCAGTTCAACTCCTGCCCAATGTTCCTGGCAAAGCAGTAGGAGATTGCCCAAGTACATAGGCTTCTATACCTACATGGTAGACCAGAGGAAGCTCATGGCTTCGGACTGGCCCAACTGGGGAATGAACCAGTGGATGGAAGATCTCTCTTCCATACAAGTAAGTCAATCAGTCTAAACAAAGAAAAAAATCCACCATTTCCAAAGTAGCTTGTTTATGGAATGAGTGATCCTCTCTGCCTCAGGAATCTATTTTCTGCCAGTGTTCTCCCTGCCCACTTTTCTTTCCCACTAATCCATTCATCCTCTTTTTCCCACTGAGCCTTCTCAGTTCTGCCTGGATAACTGGAGAGATTGAGGATTGCAGTCTGTGGGTGCCAAGCTCAGTCTGGGCCTTGTGACGGTCCATTTGAGTTTGGATTACAGCATCCCGCGACTCAGGCCGTTGTGGTTTTGCAATCTGATTGTTTTCTTCTTCTTTACAGGCAAAGAAGAGGAAAAGAGCAGAGCGCTTCGGCATTGCTTGATAAGAGTTCTTGATGCTTTTGTTACCCAGTGGTTCCATTCTTCCTGATCACATATATATATATAACTAAATGCACAGTTATGTGCTTATGTCCTGCCTCGCTATGAGGAAGCATGTACCCAGGTACATCGTGAACTCCAACAGCAGTTTGACTTAACTGCTGTTCCAACTTTAAGATTGTTGTGTTTTTCTTTTTAATTATTTTGCTTGTTAATAAAAAAACAGAAAAGAGGAGATTGTGTTTTATTAGGTACTCCTTTAAGCTCTTGGAGCCAGATTAAGAGAGCTTCAGTGATAATATATAGGGATTTAGGCATAACTCCTTTATCCCTCAGAAAAGAAGACAGGCAGAAGGGTGGAGTCTTCCCTTATGCTTGTTCTCTCTTGAACTCACTCACATCCTTTTACCTTTTTATCCTCTGTAAAAAGGCCATATTACCTCTGTGTTTCTGCTGAACAGATTGGAATGACCGACTGAGATAAAACCAAGGGGCAAAGATCCAAACGTTTCCCATGTATTGTGAATTGTGCCCGGTTCTGAGACTTTGGAGAAATGAACAAAGGGGAAGGATGGCTAAACTTTGACACTTCCTTCAACCATGTTACATTTGGAGCAACCCTCCCTCCTTCCTGATCTGCCTTCCTGGCTTTTACTGTAGGTTCTGATCTTAGGGTTACCTTTTTCTTCCCTCTGCCGTCTTCATATGGAAACTGACCAGAGTATATAGATTTCTCTTATAAATTGAGAGGTGGGAGTTCTACCCCCGCAGGGGTAAGGGAATAGCAGATGCTGATTGTGGGGTTATCTTCACTGCAGGAAGCTTTGAGACGTTTAACCAATCTTCAGTTTGAGAAGTTTTCTTCATTGAAGCCTAATTAAACATTCTCACTCGGGTTATTTCTCTTACTGTTTGATACAGTATTTGCCAGTGGTGAGAATTTCTTTACTGACTTTTTTTACATTCTAGCAACTGTTCATGTTTGTCAGTCAGGAGTCCTCCAGGTGTGATTATTGAAATCTTCCTCTTGTTTCATTGTAGTAATTCCACGCATAATCCAAGTATAAATAGCTCAGGGTACATATGGGTGGGTTTTTTTGTTTTGTTTTGTTTTGTTTTGAACTAATTCAGCCAAAATAGTCTGCATTTGGAGACAAATTAGACATCCATGCCTGTAATTCTGGGATGTAAGCGCCCTTCCTCCCTATCCTCCAATCATCCAAGCGTGGCTGATCCAACGACCGCGTGTGGCCGGCGGCTGTCTTTGCCTTCTCCTGAAGCTGTGACATTCTCTGCATACCTTGAAGCTCTTAATGAGATAGTCTATAAAAGCTGTGGAGGGAACTAGTCTCCCCAGCTGTAAATCTGCACATTTATGGTTCTCCAGGCTCATTCTCTTTTTCTCTACTATCACTTTAAACTGCCCTTCCCCTCACCCCAGCTCTCCAGAACTGCTGAAGAGAAGGTGTCTGTGGAGTTGAGGGCCATGGGAAAGAAGGTGTGAATAAGGGCAAGGCTTGTTGGTGTTGAGCTGGATCCTGTTGCTGTATCTAAAACAAGGGGTGGGCAGGCCCCTGTAAGAGGGTCGATTTTTCACTGATCTCTTGGATTAGTGCCTCTGATAGGTGGTACCATTTGCTTCTAATTAGTGAAATCGCCCTGGAACTCTAATGCACCATCTAGTTGCTTTCAGAAATTTCTTTCCTGAAAAGAGAATGAAGATTTGAGCCCAAGGTATTTTGTTCCTCAGTTTCTTATTGCCTTTTTCCTCTCTGTTGTAGAATAGATTAAAATGTAATATTGTGTCGAGCAGCTACTTAGACTTTATTCTTTGTTCCAGCAAAACTTTCTGTGAGACCTGGGACAAATTAAACGGACTTTTCCCAGACTTTGTACTAGTAGGAATCCTATCATGAAGAATTAACTGATGTTACCACATTCTGTACTCAGCACAGTTTGCTTACCATTGTTTGCATAGTAAACTTCAGCTAATGCTACCTCTTTAACTTTACTAGGCGATTAGGGTAGGCTCCATGAGTACTCCAGCTAGAGGGAAGAGGGTGAGCTAATTGTGCATGTTTATGTACCTGCTTATTTAGCTGCATTTGTAGGTTTGGAGACTAGGAGAAATTCAGTTTGCTGCCTTATGCATTGCTCCCTGTCAGGAAAGACGACATTGTTGCTTGGGACATTGACATGCCTGCTTCTGTTCCATAAGAGAGTGAAAGCTGTAAGTGCTGCTATCCTGGAATATGGTTCACATCTCCCAGCTTCTGTTCCATAAGAGAGTGAAAGCTATAAGTGCTGCTATCCTGGAATATGGTTCACATCTCCCAGGCAGGCAAAGGTGGAGCACAGTACTGCTATGCTTGCTCTGAGTTGGAGGATGTTTTAGAATAAAGAAAAGGATAAAAAAAAAAAAAGGTCCAATAGGGCCAGATGTTGTAATACAAATTAAGCTCATTTGTGACACCTGCATCCCTATTGGAGTGACAGTTTGAGTCCTGCCTGTTCTGCTTTCACTCTGGCTTCCTGCTAATGCATCCTGGGAGGTGGCAGATTAAGGCTGAAAACTTGGGTCCCTGCCACATATGTGAAGTATTAGGACAGAAGCTAAGGGTAGGCATAGACAAAGCAGTTCCCTTGGAGGATAGAGCCAGTAACACCTGTTATTTAACCAGGCTCAATCTCAATTTGGTGATTGGCCTGGGATAGGAACAATCTGCAGATATTACAACCAGGGCAGGAAATGCATAAGGGCATGTTGAACCCTTGCAGTAACTGTTCATTCCAGATCAGGTTGATATCCTGGCAGCTTAATTTTTTTAAATGTGGGGCAAAGTTCTTTCACCGTTACCTCTTACACTGTGCTCTAGGTACATGGGAGGAAATTTTTACAGTGGACTCAACTTTTGAGTTAACTCTTGTTAACACTGACAAGTTGAATAGCTGTAGTTTGGTTTAGGGGTTTTGGTGAAACTTGGTTGAGGAAACCTAGGATCAAAGACTACAGAATAGAAGAGAAATGAAGAAAACTTCTGGATTTTTCCATTCTGCAGTGGCTAGAAGAATTTTTGTAATATTTGGGACGATTTCAGATCAGCTCCAGAGAAGAGTTACTCTGGGCCCCGTCCCCTCCCCTCTTCTGCCCATCTCCCTTGGGGGTTGCGTGTTCCACTCTGCGCACAGCCTAGTGTTTCTTCACTTTGTTTGCAGCTCACCTTTTTAGTTCTTGGGTGCAAACTTCGTCAGATCCTCTTTGGTGCCTGGTCTCCAAGATATAAATGTGGCGCTCAAATAGGGAGAAGAGCTCAGTACTGAATTCTAAACTCTTTGACTGCTTTATTTTTCTTTCTTCAGGTTCAAGTGCTGGATTGTGTCATGTGACTATCCCCAAACCCAGAGCACCCTAAGGCCATCTTTGCTCTTTGTCACATAACTTGAAAACTTCAAGATGGCCTGTTTTTGTTTTTGCAGTGGTTCCCTCCCAGAAGCCTTGGTCTCAGTGAAGAAGTCCTTTTCCCAGCATTCCAGTGCCCCCCCATCAGTCCCCTACTCCTCAGTCACCCTTAACAAACAAAGGCAATCACGCACACAATGTAACAAATACACAGAGTAAATCATTACACCACTAAGGATATGTTGGAGAAGCACTGGCCAGATCCACACACAGAAGGTTTAAAGAGGTGCTAGCTCGTTCCCAGCGGGCTGTCAGGCTGTGCCAGGCCTCATCACCCTAGGCCTCCTGGGGTATAGGGAGGGACATGGGGAATGAAGTTTCAACTTGGAGATTCATGTTCGTAAGGTAAATTCCCCCAAAGGTCTTTATTTGGTGGTAGTAAAGGGGCAGTATTCTGAGTGTCCCCCAAGTTCAATGCCCTTGCTCTCTAGAATCTGTAGAGGGAAGCTATCTTGTGCCTACTGCCCAATTCCCACCAGTGCCAAGCACAGGAGGCATTTGAACTTTGGAGGGAATTGTCTTCTGTTCACTTCTCTGTGCCTCTCCTTCCAAGAAAATGCCATGTTGATGGGCTGTGTCTGTTCTCCAAGATCGTGGCAGAAGGAAGGATGAGCAGGGCCAGAGAAGAGAAACTCGGGGTTAATGTAGCTGCTGAGTGCGAGGAGTGGAAATGCTTAACAGCTCCTGTCCATTCCTCTTTTGAAACACCATATCTCACTTTCTCATTATGAGAACAGGAATAAGATGCTGATGCTTACTTGCATCACTGTCTCAAAGGTGGGCCCATACCTTTGCCCCCTTCACCATCTGGGCCAAGGGAGAGTCATGCTGTTGGGGAGAAGAGCCTTGCAGGAATGCCTGCCAGCTAAAGGTTGCACTTAGGTTAGTTCAGTACTGTTTATATCAGACCCATAGCTGCTGGTTCCATTGAGATTGACCATCTTGCTGAAGCTTCTTCCCCTCTCCTCTCCTGACATCCTCTTGGTTCTCTCGGAGCTGAGAGGCCGGTGCTGAGGTCCGGATTGGGTGTGGAGAGTCTGGGCTTCTCGGCCTCAGGCACTGTCCAGCTGGGAGGCAGAGGGGGGCTTGCACTGTGAAGCTGCCACTCCTCGAAGCCTCATCTCTTCACCACTACTCTGGTGCCCTGGTTATCTGTCCCACAGCGAGAGGTATTTCATGTCCATAAAGTGCCTGTGGTAAGTGCTCAGAATTCATCTCTTGGCTGTGGCGGGTGCTGCCATTTCTCATTCCATCGAGGGGAAGAAACTGAGGCACAGTGAGTCCAGTGGAGGGTGGTCAGGATTGTGGGAGGAATGGATGGGCCCAGCTAAACGACTTGACATGGTAACCAATGTCTGCCTACTTAGCTTTCCCATCCTCTGCTCTAACTGGCCTTGTCGGACACATCTCCCCACTGTGTTGTCCCTCCCCTGCTGCCAGGGACTGCTAGATTCCAAAAATAAAAGACAAAAATAATTATAGACACTCTGTTCTCCCTCTTCCACCCTGAGCTTTGGGGTTGGGGGACTAAAATGCCCCCCTCCAGAATTCCTTCCACCTTGGTCTGCTGGCTCTGTTCCCTAGCCCAGAGTGGCGATTTGGATTCAAATGCCCTGTGGTCTTCAGCCTCCATGCTTCTCCTTTCTCGTCCCCTCCTAACTTTTTCTACACTTGGGGAACTCTGGGATCTCTATATACCCCTTTTATTGACCTGAAAGTGGAGGCTGGAGCAGGGACATTCCACAGGCTCTTTGGTCTCTCTTGGCTGAGGGGAATTGGGGCAAAAGCAGGCTGCACCTTCTGGCTAAGTAACACCATGAGGGTGGGCCTGAGGGTTAGCTTAGTGGCAATCATCAGACAGATTCTGGGTGTTAAGGGCTCCCCCAACCCCAGCTCTTAGATCCTAACCTTTTACTGTTTCTTTGACCAGTGGCTTTAGTTCAACCCGTTCTGCTCAGGAAGGTTGAATTAGGGTGATTATAGGCTAGAAATTCCATGTGTCGGTCCTCCTGCCCTTTACTCCCATTCCCAACCCTGGAGGCTTTATACAAGTGCTTAAGTAGGTGGGCATTAGGGGAGTGCAGGGTTTAGGAAATATGGGAAAAATGGGGCACTGGGCAGGGGTCCTGCTATTCCAGTAAAGCCAAATACCAAAAAAGAAAATGTAAAGTCATAATAAATAAATAAATAAAATTCCCAAATCCTTACTTTTGCCCCTGCCCTCACTTCCCTTGCCCTGGCCACTGATGAAGGGAAAGAAGGAAGAAGTTAAGAATGGATTTTTGATTTCCTCTCCTACTGAGTAGTTGGGGGATCTCCCCGAACTATACCAAGCCCTCACTTTACCAGTGGAAGAAAGGAGGCTTAGCCTGGGGCTTTCATTTATTACTCCATTTCCGTTTCTCTCAGTGTTTGTCTCTGCCTAGTCTGTCTCTTCTGCGTCTCTGCCTTCTCCCTGCTGCTCTTTTGTTCCACCATCTCTATACTTGTCTCTATCTCTGTCTCTATACCTCTCCATCTTCTTACTAAACCTTCTCACCTCCAAACCTCAGACATGCCCTTCCTTCCCCTTTCCCCCAAACCCTTCACCCCTCAATCCCCACCTGCCTCCCTCTGTTGTATTGCACACTGCTTGGTCAGGGAACAAGGTGTGATGTTCATGGGGAGAGGTGGAGGGCGCTGTGGAGCTGGTGAGGGGGGGGGAATGAGGACCAGGGCTGGGGGTCTTAGGGTAGGGTCTGTGGGGGAGGCATCCACTGCCCCCCCACGTTAGGAGCAGCCACAGCGATCCACCACCATGCCAGGGATCTTGCCGTAGATAATCTGCTGCTTGTCATTGAAGTAGAGCATGTTGATTGGGGACATCTTGGTGGGGGTACAGCAGGGCCCAGCAGAGCCTCTCGGGTTGGCCTGTTGCACCAAATGGGTATGCGGATACTTTTGCATGAACATGTACTCGCACTGGCCAGAGCAGTAGTTGGCCTTGTAGCGCTTAGGTGCGATGATCCAGTCCCAGCCAAAAGCCTCAAAGTCCACCGTGAGGGGATAGCGGCAGCAGCGGGACTCGCTCGAGTGCTCATCACAGTCCAGGCCCAGGTTCCGCCGGGACCGTTTTGTGTTCTCTAGGACTCGAAGCTCCATGAAAGGATGCTGGGGGTCAGGGAGAGGGGAAAGAGATGTGACATAGCCCTGAACAGTTCCTCTTCCCTGTTCATTCCCATCTGCCTCCACAGGGGCCATATCACACACCATTGACTTACTGCCTTTTCTGCCGCTCCCACCCCCACACCACGGCTTCTGCCCACTCTGCTCTGCCAGCTAGCCATCTTGCCTCCAGCTCACCTTACCTAATTCCTCCTCTCCTGGCAACATAACCCCCTCAGTCCCTTGGCCCAGGGCTCATTAACAGCCAGTTTTCATGTTCCATGGATCTCCTGTTAAATGACACCTTTCACCCCAAATTCAGTTTCAGCTCTTTTCTGGCTTAGAGCCCTGAAAAGCGATAGTTGCCACCCCACCCCCTCAACTTCTCTGGCCCCAGAAAAATAATCCTGGTCTCCCATCCCCTGCCCATTCCTGGTCTACTTTTTCCAATATCCCCACCTCCTCAGGGCCAGGTTATGCATATCCACCACCACTTGAGGCCCCCCTGCTCACCAGCCCCTCAGCTCCTGGCCCCAGAGAAGTGACAGCCAGGTCTGTGCCACTGGGATCAAAGGCGTTGATCTCGATGCCCCAGTTGCTCTGTGGCTGGCGGAACCAGCTGTGTAGTACTTGCTTGAAGTCAATGCTCTGCCAGTGGCCGGAGCGTGAGTGCAACTCAATCTTGAGTGAGCGGATGCGGATGTGACGTCGTCCTCCACCCCCTACTCCTGCGGTCCCTTCCCCAGTGAGGGGTTTTAGTCGCAAGATCTGTAAGTAGACTGTGGCTGGACGGGGCACAGGCCGCAGGTACACCCACAGCTGGGCCTTCAGTACCTTTGTGAACATCACCTTGGGACTGAAGTGGAAATGGCAACAGAGCGGGCTGCCGTCTGTCTGCACTGCAGGGTCCGCTGGTGGAAGAGAAGGGGACAGAAGTATCAGCAAAGGGTGTATGTGGAGATGAGCTGTCCCACGTAGCATTGGCAGTTTGAAGTTCTCGGCCTGAATTGTCCAGCTCTTCTCCCTTTTGTGCCTGTCTTGGTGATTACTATTTGCTCAGTACAGTGTCTGCTCTCTATAGGGTCATGGATCTGTCAGGCCTTACCTGTCCCCGTCCCAAATCCCATTGCTACCCTGCAAAGCTAGCAGGGAATAGTCCCTTGACTTGCAACTTCCTTTCCTTCAACTTTCCCAGGAATCAGGACTCCAACTTTTTCTGAATCTTCGATGCTTTTTATGGCAGTTGTACCTCTTACCATACTTCCTATCCTCATGTTACCTGGCACCATTTCCTCTTTGATGGGCAGGTAGAACCTGGCATGATAGCCCCAACCCCCAAACAAACAAACAAGCAAAAAAGGCAGTTCAGAGGGGAGAACACGAGGTCCACCCAGCCTGGGAACATGAGCTAAATTTATCCCATGAAGTAAACCAGAATTCAGAGCTGAGCTTGTTGTCTCTTTGCCATTAGGAACAACATACTCAGTGAAATGGAATTACCCAGGCACTTACGCATTGAACTACCCATTTGTCTCTCCTAAGAACAAGTTTCCTGAGCTGCTTCCTCCTTATCAATACCACTACTTTTTCAGCTTTTTAGGAGCAGGGGAAAACTACCTCTACATTGTCTCCTATTTGCCTAAACCATCAGAAGTGATACCGAATACATCAGATCAATTATAACAGGTCATCCTTTCTCCCCTGAGCTTCCTTTGGTTTCTCAATCCAGTGGCATTAAGTCTTTCCAAAGAATCAGCATCTCTCAAGCTTACATTTGACCTGTTTCCCCTCATTCTGGAACAAGAAATGGGTCCCTTCTTGAGTCTTCAGGAATAACCCTGCTTCCACTGCAGCTTCTTCCCCAGCTGTCTTTCCTAATCTTTTCAGTCAGTTGGAAATGCTCTAAATCCTATCTCCATTGGACAGGATAGATGCAAGATTCAGAAATGAGCTAGCATGGCCTCCTTGGTGTCATGGCTAAGTCCTGACTTGTGTATAATTGCAGAGGACTTAACCTCTGTGGAATCCCATCAGCTCCCCTCTCCCCACTCCAGAAGGAGGACACCAAATGAGATGAACTGGACAGAACTGCATGAATTTCCTGTATTGGGGATATGCTTCCTTTCCTGTGGTTCTCTGTGGTCCCAAGGTTCTGGGAGTCCTTCCAGGTAGCCCCCTGGTCAGAGTCTCAGGCATGTGTGAGGGAGCAGAGCTTGGAGCATGGCTACTCAAGGACAGGCAGAGAAGCTGGAGCGAGAGAACAGTGGGTGAGATGGGGAGTGACAAGTGCCACATGGCAAAGGGTGCCTTCCATTAGCATCAGAACTAGAAGTAACCTCCAGGAGGGTAGTTGTTAATAGCATGTCCATTTTGCATATCATTATCACTTTAGTGTCTCCTGTGGTACCAGGCAGTTCTCAGCAAAAGTGTGCTGAATGAACTCCCCCCACTCTCAGTGGAACTTAAATGATAGAGGCCCCTGCCAGGAAGTTCTTCGTGGTGTCTAAACTCGTTGGCTAAATCAAAGAGGGTTCACTCCTTGCCTGGCTCCTCATTGACCAGTATCTGACCTTACCCACCAAGCTTCTTGGTGGAATACAGATACTAACTCTTTGATAGGGGTGCTGAGCATTATGTAAAGAATGTGAGCACAACAGCAGCTTCTACTATTTTTAGTGTTTTTAGTTTTCTAAGCTCCCAATGTGCCGCCCCTACCTAGGCTGACATGTGGTTTGGGGATGGGGCACCAGGGAATCACCATATACTCCCCCGAACCCTGGATGTGGGGACAGTATCTAGGGAGAAAGAAAAAGGGAAGAGATGAGAATGACTGCAGATAATAAGGAAGGTAAGAATGTGAAATTCTGGGGTGAAGACAGTGTAGAGGAGCAGGTAAGAGCAGGAGGAGGGAAGGGAAGAGAAGTAGCAAGTTCTGAGTTGGAGTTCCCGGGCCTGGGGAGTACAAGTGGATGGGGTTGGGAAGCTAAAGATGCAGGGGGCTGAGCCTTGTGAGGTCAAGAAGAGAAAGGATTGAAGGGGGACAACTGGAGGAACAAAGGAGGCAGAGGTAGAGCTACACAGGGAACCGGGGGGCTAGAGAGTCCCCAACACATGGAGGGCGGGGAAGGGGCCACATCTGGGTTGGATTGATCGGGCTGGTGGCAGGCAGCAGGTCAGGTTTAGGAGGCGGCGGCGCTGGTGGGGGAGAGAGGTCATTGCACTATTTTCAGAAAAAGCCCAACCCCCTCCCTGCCCACCACCTCCCCTTCCCCCCCCCAACACACCCTCTCCCAACCTAGGCAGCACAGCCTAGGGGCTGGAGGTTGGGCTGAGAGGGCAGGGGCCTCTTGGTGTGGGGAGCAGAGAAACTGAGGGGCTGGACTTGGCTCCCAGAAGAGCAGGGGGCTGGGTTCCCAGAATGAAGGCTGGGGTGGGAGAGCCTGAGAGGGTACAGGGAACTAGGGCAGGCACAGCAGCCTAGGAGGGGTGGGGGCTGGGGTCCAGGGTTGAGGGCTGGGGGAGGGGGAGGGGAGGAAGGGGGAGGGGAGTGGAGGCCATCTCTGCTGACAAACACCTCCCCCGATTAGCAGAGCACAAGTCTCTTATTAAAGCGGGTCCCTGGGGATTAGACTATAAAAGTCTCTTTTTCCTTTTTCCCCTCTCTCCCTCCCCTCCCCTCCGCTCCCCCTCCCTCTCTTAAGAGCTCAGCTAGGCTCTTAAAGGGGAAGTACAATACCTGGCTGGAGACTCAGTTCCCTAGTTACCCAAGTCCTGGAGTGACAGGGGGACAAAGTTGGGGTGCAGCCCCACCTGCTGGAGTTACCCCTTCCTAGGTCTGAGTTGCACTGCCCTGTCCAGGTATAAGGGGTCAGTTCCCTTCCAGCATCCCATCAGCAGAGTTAACTCTGGGTTCAGGCCTGTGGGTCAAGTGATGCCAGGGATAGTAAAGGGCAAGGGGAAGTCCACAGCTGGGAGCCCAGCCTGGGAATACACACACACACACACACACACACACACACACACACACACACACCCCATCTTCCCTCAGTAGTCCACCTGCTTCTGGCAAACTCCATAAGAATTCCTCTCCAACTGTTCCTAGAATCCTCAGTGAAAGGTCTTTGCCTGACCTGGCCTCCCTGGCAAAAGCCTTCAGAACCCAAAATTGGATTCTCACTCCTTCACCACCTGCCAAGCCTTGCTGGCTTCCTGGTCCGAGGAGTTTCCTTTACAGTCCTGAACACATCTAGTGGGGTCTGCAGAGGCATGGCTGGTAGGCTGCACCTCTCAGCTCTCCACATGCACACCTGGGCCCCGGGCCTCTCCCATGGGGATGGGCCACCAAGACTCCCTTCAGCCCCCAGCTTTTTATGACCCATCTGCCAATAAACCAGTTCCCCCTCTCTTCTGTTCAAAGCCATAAAACCAAACTCTGTGTCTGTGTGTGTGTGTAATGTGTGTGTGTATGGGGGGGGGGGGTAACCTTGCCAAACCATTAGGGAGTAAGAAAAGGCCTGGTTCCTTGGAGTTGAAATGGGGGGGGGGTTGAAAACAGTGGAAGAGGGAGAAGGGGGGTCACCTGACCCTAGGGAGAGCTGGGGTTGGGATGAGAAGGGGATGTAATACTGGCCTGGATTTTCCAGGCCATAAAATATCAAAGCAGTGCCTGGTCTATTAACATGTTCATCTTCCGTTTGGTCGGCAGCAGCTTGGATGCCTGGGTCCCCAGTCCCCCACCCCTTATTTTTTTCTTTTCTCCCTAGGGCTTCCTCTCTCCAGTTGAGCACAGGAACAGACAAAAATAAGGGAGGGAGCGGGAAGGACCGAGGGAAGGACTGAGCAGTCACTGAGTGTCCAGAGTTCTCTGCGCTCCTTCAGAGTACATGAAGACGAGGCTTTCTGGGATCCCTGGGATCCCGGTGGGCGCCTGGTTCGGGATGGAAAGGTGCCAGTTGGGCTGCCAGGAGAGGGACCCGAGGCTCTGGGACCCCGAGCGGGGTCAGGGAGAGGTGGGCACGTGCGGAGAGGGCCAAGAGCACTGGAACCTAGCGGGAACTGCGGGCGTCCCAGCACCTCTCCACCACTCACCCCTTTGGGAGGGAGTCTCTGCCAGGTCCCTGGGCGGCAGAACCCAATTACCCCGGACTCCTCAACAGGGCCTTTTGCACTCCGGGGTAGCACACAACATCTCAGGAGCAGGATGTACACACACAACTCCGCAGCCCATCACAACCGCTCGGAAAACTTGCGCGGGGCAGTCCCCCATTCCCAAGCCAGTCAAGTTCCGGCAGAGGAAGCCTTCGGGAGCACTCCACCTAGGAGCCGACCCCGGCGTCCCGCCGCCCGCGCGCCCCGAAGCGCACTTACTCTCCTGGGCCATACTAATGACGGTCTCGGTGGTGGCGTGGTACTCGTCCTCCTCCAGGAAGTCCTCGGGCTGCAGAGCGTCTCCCTGGAAGTCGTGCAGGTCCAGGATCTGCTGCAGCGGCGGCGCCTTGGGAAGCAGCTGCTTCACCACCTCGCGGCTGATGTTGGGCGCCTCCTTGAGCCGCAGTTTGCTCAGGATCTGCGACTTGATGCTCTCCAGGCGCAGCTCGCGGCTGTGCTGCCGCCACACGCACACGGGGCAGCCGTCCGGCTCCGGCGCCGCGGACGGGGCCGGCCGGCTCGAGCGCTCCCCCCCGGCCCCGGCCGCCGCTGCCGCCGCCGCCGCCGCCGCCGCCGCCGCGGGGCCCTCGGCCGCCTCCCCCCGGGGCCGCAGCTCCAGGGCGAGGAGCAGGAAGCCCAGCAGCAGCGGGGCCGCGAGCACCATGCTGGAGGGGAGGGGAGGGAGGACTGGGGGGCGGGGACGCCGGAGTCCCGCGGGGAGGGGGCGGAGGGAGGAGGAGGGGGTCCCGGCGGCGCGGGATTGGGGGCTGCCCGGCCGAGGGGGGGCCGGGGGGGCCGGGGGCGGCGGGCGCGCGGGCGGGGCGCGCGGGCGGCCGGGGCGGGCGGCTGGGGGGGCCCCGAGCCCGGGCCAGGCCCTTTATAGCCCCGGCCCCCGTGTCGTCAGCGGCCGCGATTGGCTACGGAGCCAACAAAAGAGGTAGCGCTGTCATCCGAGGCGAGAGAGGGAGCCGGAGAGAGAGCCCAGCCATCGGGAGGGAGGGAGCGCGGGCCCCGAGCAAGACCCGGAGACCGCGAGCCGAGGGGCAGGGACCGAGAGCGAGGCCAAGTCCGAGCGAGCGCGGGAGCCGGGAAGGAGGCCGAGCCAGCCGGGGGGCACGACACGGGGCGAGGGCCGGAGAGGGCGGAGAAAGGAGGGACGGAGCGGTCACTGGGAACTAGAGCCCGAGGTGGGGAAAGAGCAAGAGTCGGCCCGGGTAGAGTCCCTAGGGAGGAGAGAGAGAGAGAGAGAGAGAGAGAGAGAGAGATGCGGACTGGACCCGAAGGCTGAAGGTCTGCAGAGTGGACAGGTAGACAGAGGCACGGGGTTTGCAATGGGGAGAGGACAGGGCAGGGAGATGGGAACAGGTGCAGGGGAACTGATGGGAACCCCCGGGAAAGCCAGTGGGAAACCAGCCCCCGCCCTCGGAAGTCCCCCCAGGAGGCCAGGGTTAGAAGGGCAGTAGCAGTGACAACCAGAGCCAGCGGCAGTGGCAACGTGAGAACTTAGCCACAGAAGCTGGAGGAGCTCAGAGGCCAGCGGCTAGAGAGTCGAAGGGGAGGAAGAGGCCGGGAGGGATGGGCATCCCTGAAGATGTTAAGGGTGAGCTTGAACCTGGGGCCCTCTAGACCCAGGGGTGGTCAGCAGGAAAGGCAGGCGCTGCAGCAGATCCGGGAGGAGGAGGGGGCGGCAGGCCGATTGCGGAGGAACCTGGAAAGCCCGGAGGTCCAGATACTGGCCTTTCAGAAGGGGCTTGGCGTTGCAGGAACAAGCAGGGCCGAGAGGTCAACCCTCAGAGGCTTCACGGGGACACCACTGGGGGAGGGACCCAGATGTGGGACCCTATCTTCCCATCTGACCCTGGGCATAGCCAGAGGGCAGAGGGCAGGGGTGCTTTGAGATCTCTGACCTCAGTCCCTCCAGAGTAATTTCTTTTTAACCTCAAGCCCACGTCCATAGACAAACAGAAGACTCAGGTCCTGCTTTTTTTTTTTTTTTCTTGGCACACATCAAGGTTGTTGAGTCAATGGGTGCACCTTCTGGCTGGACGTGTCCAGCGGACAGAGGGATGTTGGTTTCTCCCTGGAGAACAAGGCATCTTAAAGTTGGCTTGCCTTAGTGCAGGGAGCACGAGAGATAAGAATAGAGCTGGAGTACAATGAGGGCCAGAACTGAGGGTGCAGGGGTGAGGGGAAGAGGAGGTGAGGGGAGGTGAGGGGGCTGCAGATCTTGGAAGGGAAGGTGCATTTTCATGAGGGATGGGAATTTAGACTGCAACAAATGAAACAAAACCAGACCACTGGTTCCCTCCCCCAAACCAAAACTGTCAGCTTAGCCCTTCATCAACTTCTTTCATCCACAATGTCAGTCATCGTCTAGCTCATTCTTTGATGGAGGCATTCACGGGGTCCTCTTTTTTTTAACAATAATTCTCTCCGGAGCAGCACTTGGCTTTCGGCATACTCCCACCTGTCCCGCTCCCATGTCATTTTCTCAACACAGGTGGTGTCACCTCATCAAACACAGATCTGGTGGCAGATGCAAAGACGATGGGGTCCAGCCTGTTCCCTCTGGAAGGACATGCAGTAGACAAGACACCAGAGGAGAGGACCAGCCCACAGTCAGGACATGTGCCTCCTAGTGTTTCCGTTGACACATCTCAGGGACCTCAGACATGACAGGTTAGGGCAGGTGTTTGGCACAGCCCTTAAGGGATGGAGGGGCCTGTGCTGTGTTATAGTAGGCTAAACTTCAGCCTGCCGCACAGACGTCTCCTATGTTGCTGGTTTGAGTCCAGGCTGCTCCACTTCCCATTCCAGCATCTTGCTTGACCTGGGAAAACAGTAGTGGATGGTCCCAAAGAATCTGTACCTGCATGGGAGACCCAGAAGAATCTCCTGGATCCTGGCTTAGGATCAGCTCAGCTCTGGCATTTGCAGCTATTTGGGGAGTGACCCAATGGATATCTCTCTGTTTGTCTCGCTCTTTCCTTCTCTAACTCTGCCTTTCAAATAAAAATTTAAAAAAAAAAAAATTAAGACTCTACTTGAGGGCCCGGCGGCGTGGCCTAGCAGCTAAAGTCCTCACCTTGAACGTGCCGGGATCCCATATGGGTACCGGTTCTAGTCCCAGCAGCTTCACTTCCCATCCAGCTCCCTGCTTGTGGCCCGGGAAAGCAGTCGAGGATGGCCCAAAGCTTTGGGACCCTGCACCCGCTTGGGAGACCTGGAAGAGGTTCCTGGTTCCCGGCTTTGGATTGGAGTAGCTCCAGCCATCGCGGCCGCTTGGGGAGTGAATCATCAGACGGAGGATCTTCCTCTCTGTCTCTCCTGCTCTATGTATATCTGATTTTCCAATAAAGATAAATAAATCATTAAAAAAAAAAAGAACTTGGGTGCAGGCCTGGCACAATAGTCTAGAAGTTAAAGCCCTTGCCTTGCATGAGTTGGGATCCCATGTGGGTACTAGTTCGTTTCACAGTTGCTCCATGTCACTTCCAGCTCCCAGCTTGTGGTCTGGGAAGGCAGTAGAGTTCAAAGCCCTGGGACCCTGCACCCAAGTGGGAGATGCAGAAGACGCTCCTGGCTTCAGATCAGCTCAGTTCTGGCCTTTGTGGCTACTTGGGGAGTGAACCAGTGGTTGAAAGATCTTCTCTCTTTAAATCTGACTTTCCGATTAAAAAAAAAAAAATCTATTTGAATGGCAGAGTTACAGAGAGAACAGGAGATACCGAGAAAGAGAGACCATCTAGGTTCATTCCCTAGATGTTGCAATGGCCAGGGTCAGGGTCAGACCAAAGCCAGGAGCCAGGAACTTCATACAGGTTTGCCACGCGGGCGGCATGAGTCCAACCACGCGGGCCATCGGCTGCTTTTCCCAGGCCATTTGTATTGGAAAGTCAGATTCACAGAGAGGAGATAGAGAGGTTCTCTATCCACTGGCCTACTCCCCAAATGGTCTCCACGGCTGGAGCTGAGCCGATCAGAAGCCAGAAACCTCTTCCAGGTCTCCCACACGGTGCAAGGTTCCAGTGCCTTGCCTGTCCTCCACTGTCTTCGCAGGTCACAAGCAAGGAGCTGGATGGGAAGAGGAACAGCTGGGATAAGAACCAGCATTCATATGGGATCACAGTGCATGCAAGGCAAGGACTCCAGGCACTAGGCTACCGCACTGGGCCCAATAAAAACAAATCTAAAAAAAACAATTTCTCAGCTGTTAAGAGGAGAGCAACAATACTATACCCATTTCAGAGGATCATGAATCATGGGGAGGTCAAGTGTCTTGTACCATGGTCTGTAGGTTTGTAATGCTTGTGTCAGAACTTTTTTGAGTATTCTTCAGCTGCTTTAAAGGACTGAAGGGCTGGAAGATGGGTGAGGCAGGGAGAAGTGTCCGTTGATGCTTGGAGGGGTTATGGAGTCTGGGATGTATCAGGGAGCTAGGAACAATTTGAGAGTTCCTGCGCTTGGCCTTAAGTCTATGAGTGGACAAGGCTGCCACCTCCTGGTGGGATTCAGAATGCTGGCTCCTTGGAGGTGGAATGAAAGCCAGAATTTTTTTGGAAGTGGGTATACATATTTTGCATCTTTGCTTTAGACCCCTGGGTCCCAAAAGTACTAGGAGTATATATACATATATATATCTTAATGCACTAAGCTGCTTTTCTCCAGCCCATCCTGCATCTTGTCTTCCCTCACCACCTTGAGGTTCCCTCAGGTTTTGGTCCCCCAATTTGCAGGAACTAACCCCCTTCGGAGCTTCCCAGCTTCTGGCTGTCCTCAGACTCAGTTCTGAGGGTGGCACCCTGACGGCTTCACGGAAAAGGAGCTGGGTGAGATGTGGACAAGCAGATCTATCCTGATCCCCAGGGCAGGGGAACTGTGACTGGGAGCCCCGCCCACTGTCCTGGTCTCCCTGGCAACTGTTTTTCAGCTAAGGGGTGCCCTGCTCCCGACATTACCAGGGCAATCTTTAGGCCCGCCTCCTTCAAGGTCCTGACTGGTTCATAGCAGATGTGGGCCAGGTCCTGCGGCAGGAATGTCAGCGGGAAGGGTGTGCAGGAAAGAAGGAATGGCCCTGTGAGGGAGAACCTTTCAGGACCTGGAGGGATACTTGCAGCTTCTGGGAGGGTCTGGTTCATCCTCCTGAAGGGGACCAGCCACCAGGGTCCGCAGGGTCTGCAGCCAGGGAGGCCTGGGTCTGCCAGAGAGGTGCTGCTGCCAGGCAGGGAGACGAAGCGGCCGTCCTGCACCCCTGCCACCAGAGTGGGCTCAACAGGGAGTCTCTTCCGCAGACCGACGCTCCTCGGTCCCGCACCAGGGCCTCTTCTCTTACAACTGAGCACCCTTGTTTTGGAGTCAGGGTGATGGACATTGAGGGGGCTGGGGGTTGTGATCTCCTAAGAAGGTGTGTGTGGGGGGGGATGGTCCCTGGGGCTTCCTATCCCAACCCTCCCTACCACCCTGTGCTCCCTGGGACTGTGGGAGAGGCTAGTTTGGTCAGGGTGCCCACAGACCCTGAGTGGAGGGAGGAGCCCTTTCTTAGGTAATGACCTCCTTGCCCACACCATGCACAACACCCTGCAATTGTCTTGCCCTGTCCCTTGGCAGCCCTGGGAAGCCTTTGCTCACCAGGGCCCTCTAAGCAAACTGCAGGTTGGGTGCAAGCGATAAAGGATGTGTGTTTTGGGTGGTGGTG